AAGCTGCTGCCTCATGTTTCCTCTCAAAAATGGAGCCCATCTTTACAAGTCCTCAAGCCTTGCAAGCAGTGGAAACAGCAGAAGAAAGCTGTATACTCAGAGGTACATGTCAACCTGTCACAGTCTTTAGTCAAACTAATGTCACAAAGCCAGCCAGAGTCATTGTGACAAGGATTACAGCGAGAGGGAATGACTAGGGTATTTGATTTATAAGAACTAGATCAGCTTCAGGTGTGAACTATGAAGTCACACAGGTCCAGGCACAAGGAGCCCTATGCTTGTGTTACCATTTGAAATTCTAAGAATTTTGAAGAAGATTCTACTCTAGCATTTCCATTTGCACTGGCTACAACAAATTGTGTAGCTGGTCCTGACCAAGCATATATTACCAGAGGTATTATTATTTATTACCCTAGCTGCACTCCATTCTGACATTACAGGTTCCTTCCCAACACAGGTGTCCATTCATGGTCCTCTTGTCACTGAAGGCTCCACCCTCATTTTGATCCCTGTCTAGCAGAATATTGAATTCCTATTGACAGATGTTATGAGCCACTTGATATTATAAATTATAACAGGGCTTACTCAACATGTAGAAACATTAGAGCTCAAGCCATGAGTAGAAAAGAGGCATCATAAATGTGATGGTTCTCGTGCTTAGGGATGGCACGGAAATAACAGAAAATACTTCCATAGTTCTCAAATTCTGCAATTTGCTAAATGCAAAGGCATAGGTGAGAATCATCCAGTTGAACACAAGAATTAGACATCAGTGATCACTACATAGGCTCAGGTTTCTCTAAGACATTCTTTTTTTTTTTTTTTTTTTTTTTTTGAGACAGAGTCTCATTTGTTGTCCAGGCTAGAGTGAGTGCCGTGGCGTCAGCCTAGTGCACAGCAACCTCAAACTCCTGGGCTTAAGCGATCCTCCTGCCTCAGCCTCCCGAGTAGCTGGGACTACAGGCATGCCGCCAACCATGCCCGGCTAAATTTTTTAGTAATATATGTGTCAGTTGGCACATTAATTTCTTTCTTATTTATAGAGAGGCGGTCTCGCTCTTGCTCAGGCTGGTTTGAACTCCTGACCTTTGAAGCAATTGCCGCCCGCCTTCGGCCCCCAGAGAGAGCTAGGATTACAGGCGTGAGCCACCGCGCCTGGCCTCTTCTAAGACATCTTAATAAATAAAACATTAAGTACGACTCATTAAGTATGACCTTATTTGACTTCTCATTACAAGACCCCCTTCATTTTGAGATTCAGAGGAAATCGTTGATGGAGTGACGAGATGCAGATGTTTTGATATGACAGATCATCTCCAACCAACATCCCCTTCCCACTGCCTAGGATAGCAACCTGACACTGGAACAGCCTCTCAAAAAACTAAAGTAGAGCAGCAGCTGCAGGGTGAGTGGGAACTCAGTTTCAGTGTGGCGCAAGCCCCACCTCATCCACACACTGCAGCCCTACACTCAATATTCCTTAGTAGCAAGACTCAAACATTTTGCTCTCAGGATCACTTTACACTCTAAAAGTTACTTAGAATCTCAAAGAACTTTTGTTTAAGTTGACCATATCTATTTATATTTACCTTATTAGAGATTAGAACTAAGATTTTTTAAAGTAATCACTAACTCCTAAATCACTCAAAACAACAACAATGAATAGATTAGATGTAAAGTTAAATGTTGTACTTTTTAAAGAGTAACCTTGTTTCCTAAAATATAAAAATTAAAAAGAGAAATGGCATTGCTTCACATTTTCAAAATCTCTTTAATGACTGACTATATGACTAGCATCTAGTGACATCTGGATTCTCATGTCTGCTTTGTATTCAATCTGTTATGCTACATTGTTTTGCTAAATTATATGAAAAGAATCAGAGCTCACACAGGTGGTTGAAAAGATACCCCACAGATACACCAAAAGGGTTTGAGGCAACACCAGGGTTCTTGGACCACACTTAATCTCATTTCTCAGGTTGCAGTGGTGGGTTCTGAGATGAGGCCTTAATACAAAGACATTTGCTGGGAATGTTGGGGGAGGAAGGCAGGAGCCTTTTTCTGCTCTACTTACTCCTGAGATAATATAAGGTTTGGAGTAGCTGCAGCCATTTTGCCAATATGTGAGGTACCTGTGCCTGAAAAGTGAACCAAGATAGAGCAGAGAGGGGAACAGAGAAAAGGAGATAAATTGGGTTCTCTTTTCATCATCCAAGTTCTGATAAGCTGCCCATTGAGCCATAACAGTCCCTTGTTGCTTAGAAAGGTTTAACTGTACTCTCAGGTTCTTAGGACATCAGAAAAACCAAGTACTTAGAGGGAAATGGGTTCAGGGTGCTAATAAAAAAAAAAAAACAGAAAAAAGATTATAATTAATTTAAGACTAAAAATCCATGCTGTGTTATTTATTCATTTCCACATGAGCAGCATTTTTAAATAAGTCTCCTTGATTAAAATTGCTTTTGAGCAAAGACTTACAGGGGAGAGGAGGCTGGCCATGCACACGTAGGCAGAGTGGGGCTACATTGGCCATAATGCAGGAATGTGCCTGGTCCTCAAGAAACAGCAAAGAGAACAGGAAACTACAGGAGATATATTAGATATCCATGCGTAGCTATCAAATAACAAATTGGATTCATGAGTCTATTGTTCAACAGAGAGAGCTGGGCTAAAGATTTGGGATTGGTTTGGGAGTTGATGGTGTTTCACCCAGTAATCCCACTGCAGGTCACCAAGAAATCTCATGTAGATCAAAAAGAAGCCCAATACTTACCCTTAGGGAGCTCCAAACATAAGACTCCAGGGAGGGGTGACAGACATAGGAGACTGAGAATGAAAGCCCTGTAGGGTAGGGGACAAACCAGGAGACAGTGGTGCCCTGGAGACCAAGAGATAGCCTGACTATCTGCCTTGAATATACCATGACTGATCTCACAACACTTATCATCCCTGTTTCTGTGACAGGAAGCTTATTCCCAGGTTGTCTTAGGTAGAGGGAGTGATCAACTGTGTTAAATGCTGCTGATAGATGAGTAAAGTAAGCATGAAAATTTGGCCCAGACAGAAGCTGGAATGGGGGGTTGGAGGTTGTCTTATTCCCAATGTCAGAGATCCCCATGACCCAAACGGTTGGATGACAGGGGACTGGGGACTGGATTGAGGAGACTTTCAAAGTTCTTGAACTAGAGAAGACAATCTTGTCCAGGCACTGAAAATAAACAGGGTCCACATCAGAGTCATATTATCTGTCCTGGAAGAGTGTCTTAGTCTTCCAGGCGTGGTGGCTCACGCCTGTAATCCTAGCACTCTGGGAGGCCGAGGCAGGCGGTATTGCTCGAGGTCAGGAGTTCGAAACCAGCCTGATCAAGAGCGAGACCCCCGTCTCTATTATAAATAGAAAGAAAATAAT